CATTTGCTCAAACCCAGAGAGAAGTCAAACATATTGAAGTAGATTCTGGAAACACTGGCCAGTGCTGGGACAGGCAGAGCCACTGTCTTTGTCACCCCATTGCTCCCCACTCCAGCAGGCCTTGGCTGCCACAGCCCCAGAGGTTCTGGAAATGAAGCCAGACACCATTCCCTGCAGCAGCCTGGTCATCCAGCAGTTCTGAGGGATTTACCCCACTCCTCCAGCCCATTCTGGCGAAGTTCACTGACGTTCACTGGTGCAGGTTGGGTTACAAGGGACAGCCCAGAGGACGAGCTGCCACCCCTCAGCCTGCTTCTGTCCTGCTGCTTCACAGACTGGGGTTGAACACCCTGTACCCTCCTCAGCTCTGCCTGGCCCCCAGCATGGGCTGTCAGAGCTGTTCTCCTGCTGCCCAGCAGTGGATGTGCTCACAGTCTGAACCGAGAAAAACAGGAATGAAAACAGCATAAAGGTGAAAGTTCAATCCCAACCAAATTTTGTATGACAATGTTCCAGACTACATAGGATTTCTGCTCCTGAAGAACAAGCATTCTTCAGCTAAAAGTCAAGGGTCCAGTGTCAGTGACTAATAAACACTGTACTACAGGAACTACAAGATGCCTTGAGGCCACAGGAACAGGGCCAGGCTGGCGGCACCTCCTGACAGCAGGGTGAGCTCCTCACCTTTTGTCTCCACTGCGTTGATGCACTTCCGAACAAACTTGAAGCCGACCTCGTTCAGCTCCACTGTTTTGGACAAGGAAGTCAGGTTAGCTGCCTGAGCACCCCTGGGGAACCCTGGGACACCCCCATCTCCATCTCCAGCCCCAAGCTGCAGTGCCCCAGCTCACAGATATGTTCACACCTGCAGCCACATCCCATACATTCCTCCAGGAAAACACCAGCATTCTGTACATCTTGACAAGCAGTTATTAGTTTCATATGTTCTCCCATTTCCCCTCGAATTTATTTTGAGTTGCAGCGCTGCTCCCTATCCCCTCTCTGTCTTTAATAACAGCAGTGTAAATCAGGTCCTGCCACGTGTGAATTGTGTCTGATAAGGACTTGATTAATCACTTCCAGAGCAAAATTTGCAGTTGAAGCTCTTCCCCATCATGCAATCATGTATTTTCTGCTTATCTACATCACTAGAATTAAAAAGCAAAATGAACCCAGCTTGATGTGTTGAGGAAAGCAGAGCACATGGCTTGTTCCAGCCAACTACCCACAGTCCAGCTCTGAGCCTCTTTCTTTTTAACTTAAAACAACATTTTGCTGGAAAAAGCAGCCACAGGATATATCTGGATCAATCCCAGTCCAGCACAGGCTGTGCTGGGGAATCCTATAGGATCCTGCATTTTCAGCAGGTTGTTTGTACTGGTCCTTTCTGCTCCGAGCAACAGCAATACCAAGCTCAGATGTTTCTTAGTCTTACTGCAGGAATCAGCACAGACCCCCTCGGTGCTCGATACCGAGGGCTGTGATAGCACTGGAACACTTAACAGCTCTAATCTATTAACAGTAGAGAGTGTTTGTTGAGTGAAACCCTGAGTCACACTCCCAGTGTGTGATGCGAACACGGCCGCACAGCAGCTTTGTGCTCATGCCCCCGTGCTCATTAGAGCCAGCTAATTGCAGTGCTGATAAAGTAAGCTGAGATAGAATGGAGGTTTCACCCACCTAACGAGGCTCTGGAGTGTTCCAGGGCTCCCAAGGTGCACCCCACTGCTGAGAGGTGGGACATGGAACATGGTGGGGGGTGGGACCTCCAGGGAACTAAATGTCATCTCTATTGCCCCATTACTCTTTGCTAAGGGACATATTCTCAGCATCTCTCATTGATCTTTTCCCCTCTGTTATGCTGGGGTTTGGAGGTGCAAATTGAAGCCCACATCCCACTGCTCCTGGCTAAATAAAAACTGCTCATCGCATCAATAACTTCTACTGTCTGCAACCTGATCTTATCCAGGCTCAGTGCCAGACACTGTGATGCAAGGACACAAGTGACACTGCCACCACAGAGGGGGGACACAGCACTTGGCAGCAATTGAGAATGAGAATATGTGCAAGGAAAACCCTGCCCAGCCTCTGGACAGCTCCAGGAGCCCAGATAACAGGAACAGAAGTGACTCACTTTCTTCCTGCTTCGTGATGGGACTGTGGTAGATCTGAAAAAGGGAGAGGGAATGGAGGAGGGAGAAACAAAAACATCATCAGGATAATTTGGTACTTATTTCTGAAAGAAAATGCAGCACTTGATAAATCACCCATAGATTACCCAAAGATTATCCATAGATCCCCTACACCCATAAACCACCACAGATCATCCATAAATCATCCATAAATCACCCATAGGTCACCCATAAATCATCCATAGATCACCCAGAGCCAATCACAGCCAAAAAGACAATGTCCCATAGAAATGTCATTTTACAATTAAGCAAGATCCCATTCTCTGCACAAAAAGGAGTTTCTAGTGCCTCCCTGCATTTCCTTGGGGCACCTGTTGCTAGGGAAATTCTCTGTTCTGTAGGCAAACTGCAGGGCTCTGAGCTTTTCTCAGACTGAAGGAAGGAAACCCCAGTAGGCACAGAAAGCTGGGAGAACGAGGGTGCAGGGTGGGCAGCGCCACCTTTCCAAAGACTGCTCAGAGCAGCGACAGACAAAGCATCAGCTCCAGCAGGCAGTGAGCAGCAGGAATAGGAGCATCCCAGCCTCGGAAAGGCTAGTCCTCAGGCGAGCTGGTACAGCCAAGGAATGTCCCGAGGTTTAGGGGGGACACCCAAAATCCCCAGGGGGAGCTGTGCCGAGGGAACGGCACGGAGCCCAAGGCCACGATCTACCGGCAGGTACCACTGGAGAAGCAGGAGGGGCGCAGAGCAGGGACCGTGTCCCCATGTGTCCCCCCTCCCGCCGGCAGAGGACACTGCTGGACAGCACATTCCAGCTGGGAACAGCTCCGGGAACACTCACCGGCTCCTTCCCGTCCATCGCCTCCATCCACAGCCTCCGGTTGGCTTCCGAGAGAGCCTGCAGCGTGATGGTCCCGGACCTGCGTGGAATTCCCCCAGGGACAGGCAGGGAAAGGAAGAAAGATTGTTTATAATGTACAGCAAAGAGGGATTCGCTCCAGGCCCGTGGGGTCTGGGGCCACCTGAACGCAGCGCCTCTCACCTTTCATTGGTTTCAATGTCAAAACAAAACCTTTTGTCTATGGAGTCTGTCTTTCTCCTAACGCAGGACTTCAAGGTCAGGTCCAAGGTGCCCTAGGAGAGAACACGAAAGCCAAGGTGAGAGGACAGAAACACAGGAGAAGATTTTGGGTTCCTCAGCTCCCTGCAGCTCCAGCCCAGCCCAGCAGCGCCCACAGATGTCCTGAGAGTCCAATGGCAGTGCCAGGAGCACAGGAGGCCCTCCCTGCACCAACACAGGCAGGATCAGAGGCTCTGTGCTCCAGGCTTCCTCTCCTCAGCTACAGAACGTTCTGCACTCCATGGCACTACCCCACACACCAACACCCTGCCTCTGCAGCGCTGGAATGCTGCTCCAGCAATCCTGGTGAGGCAGTCCCTGGTTCTGAGGCCAGAACCATGCTCCTCTGTGATCTGACACAGCTGGGTCCTAAATTTTATCAGGGCTGACCATCAGTACCAACTACCCACAGCACTGATGGTCATTGATGGCTTTACACAAACACCACGAGGCAAAGGGACATTTCCTCACCCCACCCAGAGCAGGTGTGCTCTGGAGAGGTGGCTCAGTCCTGGCTCTGGGTGTTCATGTCCCTGTGCTCTGCAGCACAGTCAATTTATAATGTGACTGTGAAGTCGTGTGGCCAGCTGTGACCTGACGGTGCAGATTCCCAGACTGAGAGTGTTTGGGAAAGGCACTAATTTACAGGTTTCCAAGCCCTTATCTGCAGTAATTGGCCTTCTTAGACACACTTATGGAATAGGTGACAACAAATCTCTCCAGAAAACAGTTTGGACATTTCTTTGCCCAGGTCTCTGCCAAGGACTTGCAAAACATCTATTTTATTTTCCTGCTGCAGTGTGCAGAGTGCTGCCAAGAACAGACCATGAGCTCATGCACTGGAGCACACACTGGCCTGGGAAGGCCCTGGGGACCCAATCCATGGCAGAGGAGGGTGGGGGATTCAGCTAGAGGCTCTGCTCCATCCTCCCACCCCTTCCCTGTCACGAGGAGGGACGGAGGGAACTCCCAGACTTTGAGCACTTTGTGAAACGCAGCAGTTCCCCAAATCACTACCTTACTGCAGTTTGGAGCTGCACTGCTGCCATCCCTCCTCTCCTGACACTGTCCCAGTCCCCCAGAACCAGTGCCAAGAGCAGAAAGTAAACTACAAACCAGTGCTGTGCGCACATGCGGAGGCAGGGAAATGCTGTAACTCCTTTAGCAGCTTGAGCCATTCAAGCACTTCAGTGGCTGCCAGAGGGCTCGTGAAGCCCAGGTTGCAGCTCACAGCCCGTGTGCGTGAGGAAAGGATCAGTATCAGCTGGTCTAGAGAAGCACAAGCTTCATCCCAGACCAAACTCGTGGGTCAGCACTGGCCAGTATCGCTCACGTCACACGGACCTGCGTCCCGATGCCAAACCCTGCTGGGCCTCAGCTCCCAGGGACGGAGAGGGGTGGGCCCTCTCCTCATGGAGGTGGCTCTTTCAGGTGACACCAAACCGCCCTGTGTGGACAAAGCAGGGAGGGGACAGAGCCTTCCCTCTGCTCCGTGGCCAGGAGCCCGTCCATGGGCACTGCCTCAGGCCCAGCCCGCAGCCGGTGTGGCTGGAGCGGCGGCACTGCCGGTCACTGCTGCCACAGCCGGGCTGGCTGCTGCTCCCTGCACGTGGCACCTGCCTGGCTGTCAGGGCAGGGATGCCACGGGAGAGTGGAAGTGAGACCCAATGGCTGGGCCAACATAGCAGACATCCAACTCACCTGCTTAGCTCCAGGCTTCTGGTCTATGGGTGTCATCCGTAAGGTTTTTGCCTCCTTTTCATACTGGCAGTAATACTTCACCCAGGAGATGCCCAGTGCCCCTGCGGAACACACGAGAGGCTGCAGTCAGGGATAGGGCTGTACCTGGATGCAGCTGGCAAGGCATGGCTGGACAGTGTCTCCATGGGCAAGAGCCAGGAGGAGCAGGAGGAGCAGGAGGAGCAGGAAAAGAGGAGAAGGAGGGGAGGGGAGGAGGAGCAGGAGGAGAGGAGTGCAGGGCAGCCGCTGCCTCCAGCGCCCTCTCAACGCGCTGCTGGTGAAAGGGCGTTTGTGGAACTCTGGGCACAAGCCAGGCTGGTTTGGCCAAACCTAGCCAAGACCTCCACTGGCAGGATCCTACGTGTCCTGAAAGCTTGTTCCACGCACACCACTAATTTTTCATGTTGGTGAAAACTCAGTAATAAAGAAAACAGCAGCTTTAAAATACTCTGAAGTTCCTATCTCTATCCCACTGGAATTATTGTCATTTTTCTCTGTTGTCTTACCTGAACCCCTTTATAGGAAACTGGTATATATACTTCAACTGGTATTTTTTCTGTAATTTGCTTTTAAGTTGCAGTTGTGTGGAGGAACAACTCTTTATGCTCAATTTATATGGAAACATAAACAGAGGTAGCAAATAGCCACTGGCCTGCAGGAACATGCCACAGGGTCTAAATTACTTTGTGTATTTTCTTCTAAAAGCAGGATGAACAGACCTAAAAATATATTTATAAATAGATTTGTATATATCATTAAAAATTAACTGCTCACAAAGCTGTCTCAGTGGCCACAGCTCTGCACAGATTTGTATCCCCTGAGCATTCCTGCTGCACGGCCATGGAGAGTTGCAGCCAGGGTTTGGAAAAGGCTGAACTTGGTTTAATTTGACTCTGCTCAGAATCACAAGTTTCGCTCTCAGCAGCTTAACTCAGCACCAGTTCCCACCTCAGCTGTGCTCAGCTGCCTGCAGAGGCTGAGGCTGGGCAGGACACCAGATTTGTTCAGATAAAACAGCCCAGGCACAGTCTGCCAGAGCTCTGGAGTCATGAATCCCATCTCATCAGACTGCAGGGCAATTAGCCCTGTGCTGACACGGCTCATGTGAGCCAGAGGAAGCTCTGTGCCACTGCTGCCAGAGCTGCCAACTAGAGCTGCCAGTGCTTCCCCCGGCAATGCAGGTAGTGACGCCTCAGGCATCTCAGGCACCGGCAGGACGTGATGCCCCGTGCCCTGGCAGTGGTGTAACCCCGCACACCCTGTGTCCTGGCAGTGGTGTAACCCCACACATCCCACAGCAGGGCTACAACCCAGGCCTCCACATTCCCTAACACATCCAGGTGCATCCAAAGCCATTACATTTCTCCTGAGTGTAGAGGTAGCCCTCAATGGTCGGCTGCCCAGGGAGCTTGCAGGTTAGGGGCGCTTCCTTCATCCTCTTCTTCAGGTCTTCCAGCTCCTCCCGCGTGCTGGAAAAGTGATTCCTTGTCTGGTAAGAGAAAACAAATAGAAGCACATTGGAACAGGAGCGAAGAGTGAGCTCCAAGTATTCCTGGATAAAGCTGAGGTGCTCTGGTAGAAATGGTCTCCAAGATACAAAATTTGGAAGCCACACCACAAGTCCTCATGGAAACTGTGGCTATGAAAAGCACTGGGCTCTTCGAGATGATTGAAGGGGCAAGGTCTGACACAAGGTTTGACACACGGTGTGCATGGAGATGGTGCTGAGGAGGCACAGGACCTGGATATTTTACCCATGAGCCCACCTGGCCAGCAGAGGAGCTTACCAAAGCATGTAGCAAGCCTGTAGTAAGCTAGTATGATTAGGATCAAGGTTAGAGGCCTTTTCAGAGTACAATTTCAATCTCATTACTGTGGAAGATAATCTCACGTTTGTTTATGCACCAGGTTAAATGATGTGACTGCAATAGCACCCCCCAGACAGAGAAAACACTCTCATAGACCTGTGGACTCTCCTGAGCAGGAGAGGGGAAAACACTCGCGAGCTGAGAAGGAAATAACTGTATCTGCAATCTCCTCCAGGGGAGACATGGCCAGGCTGCTCGGGTGGAAAGGCCTTGTCATGAGAGGCATGTAAATCCAAATGAGAACAGAAGTCACATGGAAAGTCCTGCAACTGGGCAGGGACTCACATTCTGCAGGCTGAGCTGGAGCTGCTGCTTGTAGGGGAGAAAATCCTGCGTCAGCTCCACTGTCAGATTGTTGTAAGTGAAAAGACTGTGGAGAAATGCCAGCACCTGCAACGAGGGAAAGGGCAGACTGAAATTCTGTATTTCTAACTGGAGGAAGGACGGACAGACAGCCGGGTTTCAGAAATTTCAATTATTTTTTCCTTGCAACTTCGGAGTGATGCCAGCCTTGGCATGACTCATCAAACACAGTGCCCCTAAAGACCAGGCTACCACCCACGGATCTGTCTGAATAAAACATTCCCGGAGTGAAAGACCCTGCAGGGAGACCCAGAGCAGATCTGGAAAGTGCTCATCCACAAAACCCACACGATCCCACCACACCTGGCACCTGGGCAGAGCCACCACCCAGGTCCCTGTGCTCAGCCATAGGCTGGGACCATGGCAGGCCAGGCCAGGGCAGGTGAGCGGAGCAGGTAACACATCAGCACATCTGAGCACCAGCCAACAAGGCTGAGAGAAAAGGAAGCTCCTACCGGCTCCACAATACTGAATTTCTTGCTCTCCTGTACTTCCTGGATCTGGTACACGTACTCGAGGGAGGACTCAAAGAAATTGTGTCTCTCTTTGTCCACCTGAAGGTCAGCCTGGAAGAAGGAGGGAGAGGCGGAAAAAGAAAATATATCACACGTAGTTTTACAATACTTGACTCGCTTTTGTCTTCCAGCCTACAGGTAGCTTTGTCCTCACCAAAACCAGCCTGCCAGGTCTCCAGGCCAGGTTTGAACTGGGATGGTGCATATTCTTTTCCATTTGCCTATTTCTGCCTCCCTCTCATTCATGGATCCAGAACCTCACCCCAGTCTGCAAGGACAAGGCTTTCCCAAAGCTCATTTGTTACTTTAGCACAAGCCCCTTCTCCACCCAGAGCCCTGGGAGGACAAGGCCACTGCCACCATCCTCTTTCCAGACTCCATCTGCAACCCGGAACCAGCACTTCCAGAGCTGCAGCAGGGCAGGACCACAGGACACATCTCCTCTGTCTGCCCCCACAGCCACCCAAAAGCACCAGCAGCATGGCAACACCAGGCCAGCAAAAGAAATAATAACTGGTTATTTCAGCCAGAGCGGTTCCCCAGGTGAAAGGGTGACCAGTCCCCAGCTGTGCCAGTGCCCCTGGTCACTGTACTACACCATGAGGGTGACAATCAGGTGACAATGCATAAAGCCAGTACCAGCAGCCAACACACATGGGACAACTATGAGCTTGATTTCCCTGGTCTCACCCAGAGAATCCAGGTTTTGAGTAGATTTAACTGATTATCAACTTCAACAGATTACTGGAAGGAATAATTCCTCCCCACACTTTTTTCTAATATCCAGAGCAGCTGGTGGTGTTGCTTCTGGACCCAACTCTGAAGGAAGCTCCATACACACCTCCTGTAACTGGGATTCCTTCTTTTTGGAAGACAAATGCAGGTGGCGATCCAGCATAGAGTAAAACTTCTCACCATCCTTCTCAAACTTTTTCTTTCTTTCCTGTGAGGTGAAACAGAACCAGTTACTGGAATTTTCCAGATAAGAACATGCATCAACACCAAGATCCTTTATTCTGTACACCCATAGACAAATTCTGGTCAAGTCAGCCAAAACAGAAGGTCACTTCCATTCCCTCTGCTTTCACTAACTGCCTACCCTGGATGCAGTTACACCTCAGGACCCAGCTCTGCCAATACTCTGCGGCACAAAAAGCCCCCTGATGAGGTGTTCACACATCAAAACCCTGTTCGCCATCTGCTGATGTGCTCAGGTCAGAAAACAACAGCGCAACAACAGTCAGAAACACATCAAGGTCAAGGAAAGATTTGTTAGTTTGGCAATTTTCTGTTCTGAAGCTTTTACCATGAGTTTCTGAAGAGTAGCAAAAGGAAAGCAGAAGCCTATAAGGATGACACGTGGGAGGGAAGTCCTCATCTCCCTGCCAGCAGAGGTGCAAAGAGAACACAGATGAACAAGAGCAACCAGAGACACTCGAGAGGGAAGCCCTGAGAGCAGGCAAGGAGCAGCAGGGCTGAGGACCAGGATGTTGGCTCCTGCCTTGCACTGACTAGGAAACCACCAAGGACTCAGAAATCAAGACACAACCATAAGCAGAGCCCAGGCTGACAAATAGCCACATTAGATGGTAATCGAGCCATCAGGGATTGCTGGGACTTTTTAGCAACTAAATTGCTAAAATTAGGAAATTCCAGCCTGGCAGCAGCCTCAGTGCCAGATTCAAGCAGCTGAGCACTGGTATGTACATACTCCAGGGTATATATAGGATGTCCAGATCCTCTGTCTGGCTTTAGAAAGCTCTAGAAGGTAGAAAGCAGAATTAGGAAATCCCACCTTCCTGAGAATTAACAGCACCTTTCAACATCTACCTCCTGAAAGCCCTGAAATCCTATTCTCTTGCCTCCACTCAGAAATCCATGGATATGCAAACACACACCAGTGCCACCACAAATCAGAGAGATGGACTTAGCTAGACTGGTAGGTACTAGGGATTCTCCTCATGCATTCAGTAGTGACTGCAGAGTCTGCAGCTTCCCCTGCCATGAAGTTTTGCTTCCCCATTCCACTTGCACGAACTACTCCATTTGTCTGTCGGGATGTCCTACGTGGCAGGATGCCTGGGGGCTCCCAAAACCCATACCTGGGCTCAATGCAGTTGGCTCCCATTAACAGTAACAAGTGTTCCTGCCAGCTGCCCTTCTGGGAAAAGGAATTCTCACCTCACAGGAGTCCTGACTTGGCTGCTGGAAAAGCACAACTACCATGGGGAAATGCAGAGACACCAATTGGACTATTCCTGCTTATACATAACTGTCCAGAGCAGGGCAGGCTTAACCCAACAAACCTTTTCACCCCAGCAATTACAACTTCTGCCCTGTAGCTCCTGGAATTACCAGACCCCTGAAGGGAAGTGAGTTTTCTGGAATCACACCCTGCAGTTCTGGGTACTGTGACTCTGTGTTAGCAACTTCACGCCTCAGAATAGAGAGATCCATGTCAGGAGGAGTAGAGAGTCCTCCAAGGGTGAAACCTAATTTAAGCAGTGCTGCAGCTGCGGGGGCGAGGCCAGGAAGGACTGTCAAAACAAACCACCACCCTAGTGACTACCCCTGATCAGCAAACCCAAACCCAGTGCAGTGAAAGCGTTTGCGGAGCAGCAGTTCCTGTGTCTCTGTAAGGTCACACTCCTGGGCTGTGTGGGCCATTGATGCCCTGTCTAACACAGCCAGGAACTTGGCTTGTTTCCATGTCCATAAAGAGGAGTCTCCAAACCCCAAGGCCGTGGCAGTGCAGGGAAGGTGCTGACTGCGGGGCTGCAGTCACACCGCTCGTGCCTCAGAGGAGATGGCTGTGCCAGCGCCCGGTCCTGAAATCCCTCAGCCATGGAAAGTGGGCTTCAAACCCAACCAAGAGCTCAGCTATCCTCACTGAGCTGGCGTGCAGAGGTGGTGGTGGCAGCACAGGGACAGTGCCAGCTCTGCTGCTCAGTGGAGCTGTGGGGAAGCAGCTGAAGGAGCAGCAGGAAAGGGGCTGAAGGCCAAGACAGGTGTCCTGTTCTGCCTCTTGCTGCCAGCAAGCCAAACATACAGGGTGACCCAGCTGTCCCCACCCTGCAGAGAGGACACCAGGGATGGCAGCCACACTCCAGGTCAGAGCTGGGACCAACCTCTCCCGCTCTCCATCTGCTTTAGCAGATGCTGCTTTATCAGGAGTGAGCAGGAGCCCTCAGGAAAACACTGGCTGTCTGGTCTGGCAGGTGATCCAGCTCCAGTGATGCCAGAACCCTGTGGCAGCCATCAGGTCCAGCTGACCAGGGGGAAAAGGGGTGCAAGGACTTGCCAAAACTTGCCCTTAATCATTAGGTGCTAATTAGGATCCTCTGAAATTCCTGTCCTAGGAGAGGTGGAGTGGCAAGCAAAGAGCCCATCTCACAGGGCCACTTGTCTTCTTTGCCTGCTGGAAGGCCCCACCTCCACACACACCTGAGGGGGACAGTGGGTGCAGGGTCATCACAACTCGTTTTTATGAGGCATCAGGAGTTAATACAAAAAAAGATAAATTTAAAAAGTCAAGTTGAGGAGTGTAGAAAGATCATTTCTATAAAACCACACTCAGTTTATCCTGGTGTTTTTCCCTCACCCACTGGTTTCTCTCAAATGCTCCTCAGGCCTTGCTACTGCAGAGATGAAAGCAAATAGAAGTTACTGTCCTCCCTTTCTGTTAAAATTATAATTAGTGAAATTAATAATAGAATTACTAAGTCCTTTTATGAATACATTATCTCCTATGGAAGAACTTTTGACAAACGCTGCAGCTATTCAGCATCCCTGAGCACAGCGAACATTCCTCCCGCCCTTACAGTGCATCCAAAACAGTTTTTCCCCTCTGACTTTTTGGTTTGCTTTCTGTTTCTGCTTTTGTGTTTGAGTCTTCTTTTTTTTTAAAAAAAAGCTGTCTCCTTCCAAGTGGAATTGGAATGAAACTTTTCCTATTCAAATCCTCCTCAACACAGTGAGTGCAGCCAGGCTCTTCCAAAAGTACTCCAGCCCCACAGTGTGGAGCTGAGTCCCAGGGCTGTGGGGAGGGAGGGGCAGGCTCCTCCGTGCGTGTTGGCTCCTTTCCACACTCACCCCTGCCATAAACTCCCTCTGGCTCCTCGACTTTCAAGCAGATGGAGGTGCCAGGGCTGGGAAATGGGTCAGCTCAGAGGGTCCTGGATCCTTGCTTTTATCTGTGACGTCTGCACATATACCCACTGATCAGCAAGTCACAGGGAGAGCAGTGATCCCACGGGGCTGTGGCAGTGGAAGGTGGCTGGAGGGGGTCCCAGTGACAGCCCGGGCTGCCCTGTGTGGGAGCACACCCTCTGCCCAAGCAGATTCCATTCGTCCCGGGAAAGCGGGTGAATGCGGGCTCAGATGTGCTGGTCAGACCGACTGGCTGCACTCCAGCCAGAGGCATCACAAAGCCCCAATTCAAGGGCTCTTCCTATCTGGCTCCAGCAGCTCACACAGGGAACAGAAAACATCTCACAGTAGGTGACACTGCCAAAATACGGAAATGAAGCAGAGGGCACAATTTCCCTTTGTCACGTCTCCAGCCTGTCCCACAGCCCAGCCCTGGCCTCTGCCCTGGTGTGGGTCAGGAAGGACTCCGGGGTGGTGCCAGCGAAGGACCTGTGCTGACAGAGCCCCACTGTGAGGAGCCTTGTCTGTATTTCACACCTTCTGCCGTGGGATGGGGAGGACCCACAGGAGCTGTGCAGGCTGGCAGGTGAAGGAAGGCTCTGTGCCTGGGGCGATCCCTGAGGGTGCAGCCCACGGGCTCCGGGCCACTGGAGTGGCACAGGCTCCTGTCAGGGAATCACTGGAGGTGAGGGTACGGGGCTGGAGAGGCTTGTTCCCAAACTCACAGTGCCTCCAGGCTGTGGGGCAGTGCTGGGAAAAACAGAACCTCTCAGTGCATCCCTGTCAGCAGAGGCACACCCAGACCATGGTGGGTGCTGCCCTGCGAGGTCCCAAATGGAGCACTGGGGCTGAGCCATGGCACAGCCCTCTCTGCACCTTGTGTTCCTCACAAGAAACAAATCCCAGAGCCAAACCACAATGTCCTGTGAGCCACCCGCAATGACTCCCTGCCCTCTGCCACCTCTCCAGCTGCTCTGAGCAGTTCCTGCCACTGTCACCACCCCACACCTCCACCCGGAGGGCCCTGTCTGTCCCCAGGGAGGAAGGGCTGCAGGCTGCCAGGGGAATCGGTGTCAGTGCTCAGGTCCCTCCACTGCCAGGGAACAGCACCAACCCTGCTGGGCACAGCCACTCTGCAGGGGGAGATGGGTGGAGGCAGCTCAGCTCTCGGGGCACAGCATGCTCTGGGCTGTGCACAAAGGGATCCTTACACACTCTGAGGGCTCCCTGGGAAGGAAACAGTCTGAGGGTTAAAGGCACCCAGCCATGCAGGGGATGGCAGAGGGCAGGAGGGTGATTGAGTACCTCTTCTCAAACCCTGTATTTATTAAACGTCAAAGCCTCCAGATGGGCTGGGCTCAATCCAAGCCTCAAGTGTTCTCCAAAACATCTCCATTTCGGAGCTGGGTCAGGGCCAACCCCATTTCAAGCTGCTGCCGAGTAACGTGGAACCTGAATTTCTTGATAGCAGACATGGGAAAAATTATCTTTTCTGCTCCATATGTGCAGAATTTACTTTTTACAGTTTGTTTCTTTAAAAGTTTGGTCCAACTGAAAGACTCATTAGATGCTTTATGTAAATATTTCATAACAAATGCCCTATGACTATAATCAGGTTCTGCCTGTCAGCCTCTGCTGCTCTCCCCTCTTCCCTCCCTCCCCCTCTACCACACACTTCCCTGCAGAAAGTATTTTATTCTCAGTAGCACTGAGTGAACAAAGGGGAGAGGAAAGAAAGCAGCAAGATGGATCTCCTCCTGATCAAAACAAGCACTCCTTGCTCAGAATGGAGAGAGTTTGGGAATCAGGCCAGGAGAGAACCCAAAGAATTCAGAAAAGGTTTTGGAGCCTCTTATGATTGAAAAATCAGACTAAAAGTCACAGCACGAGCCCTCGTGCCAGCAGCTGAAAGCCAGCATTGAACAGGGAGTTTCTGAGAGCCTGAAGTCAGAATGTAGTACAGCAACTGTCTGCTTGTTCACAACAGGAAAAAAATCTGAATTCAGACACAGTAACAGCAAACAAATCTGTTTACATTGAAAAGAAAGAAACAAACAACCCTTACCTTGGTGAACCCTATCTGCTCCTTCCGGAAGTTTTCCAAAGGTTTGATCAGCAAATCACTTGCATTCTGCACCTACAGTGCAAAGAAAAAACACTTTAATTGTAGGACACGGATCAGTTTTCTCCTAAACAGAGGCTCAACAGGGCTAGAAGCCAAGAACTCTCATATTTTAATGTGTTTGACTGCAAACTTCTCTGTCTGTAGGTGAAGTCAATTAACCCATCTGTGCCCGCTCTTCCCCATCAGTAACACCCAACAACCCCCAAGCACGGCACAGGAGGCTTCAGGGACATCCCCCATCCTGATCTTACAACACTGCTCTCAAAAAATCAGACTTCCCTTCTCCCAAGATCCAGCCAGATCCAGCTAGGGAAAAGGGAAAGCCTGCCTGTGACTCCTCCATTCCTGTCTTATGTCTGAGACATGCTTTCCTGGGACATACTCTGCACTCTCTTTCCATGAATCCACAGGAAAGCTCACTGACTCCAGCTTCCCCTGGCACTGGGACCAATTTGCTGTCTCTTCCCATCCCCACTTCTGTGACAGGCTCTGTCCCAAGGACCAGAGAAGGGAGAGGGGAAGAGAAGGGGACAGGACAACACCCTGACACAGCTCTTCAGGGAATTTAAAGCTGATGAACATGGTGAGAGTGTGAAACCTCCTGAGGGGCTGCTGTAAACAACTGATCCTACAAGCGGAGGGCAAAAAACCCCCAACTTTGGAAAGCTGGACAGCACCCATGATCCCTGAAACAATCCCTTCCACGGCTCCCCCACTGCCAAAGAGCCACTGTAATTAATAATAAAGAAGTATCTCACGCTTTCCTGGTTTCCTGCCGTGCCCTGCCTGCCCATGGACCCTCTGGCACAGCCGCCTCTGTGGCACTGGCCCAGCCTGGCACGAGCTCCCGCAGCCGCACGAGGCAAAGGAACACAGAGCCAAGCAGCACATTCCTGGCATGCTGTAAGCTCTTCACCGAGCCTAACCTTCATGTTTTTCCTGGAACTGGGAGCGAGATGGGAAGCCAGCACTTGCTCTGGAGGAGCTCTGGAGAGGCAGAGGGCACATGGCAGAGGGAGGCCAACGGCAGTGCATCGCCCTGCAGGAGCTGGGCTGGCACGGGCAGGGGATCAGTGGCACAGGGGCACTGCCTGCCTGCACCAAGCAAAACCAGAGCAAAAACACATCTTACTCTTTAATGCCTGGTTTCAGCACAGAACCAGCTGGTGAGGAGCTTGGACACAGCTGGCCCTGCAGAGCCAGCCTGCTCCAGCTGCCGGGCCAGGGGCTCCAGGACTGCTTGCACACCGGAGAGCTTTGGGACACTGCCCATGACACCTCAGCCCTCCCAGTGCCTCCCCTGCACTCAGCTCACCGTGGACCAGGCATGGTACAGAGCACAACATTCCCAGTGCTCCCTGCTTCCCTCCAGTGGGAAGCCTCGTACTGAGGCACACGGTGCTATGGCCACAATCTGGCATTTAACCCTGGTGGGAATGACAGAGCCCAGTTTTGATCACCTTACCATCATGGACCTCTCCAGCTCTACTTCGTGCAGCAGCTCTGCAAACTCCTTAAAGGACTCAGCTGTAAGAAAAGAAGAGGTTGGTCAGGGGAGCTGGGACATGGCACCGGAGTGTGGGACACACGCTGGGACACCTCAGTGGGGCTGTGCCCCCAGCATGGCCGGCTAAAGCCTTGCCAAAAAACAGAGGAGAGGTGGCTCCTTCTGGCAGAAACTGGGTGAGGCAAAGCTACATGCCAGCTGGCCATGAGGAGTATTTATTTATGCACTGGAGAGGAGGGGCTCCTGCCCAGAGCAATGAAGGAGAGAAGGCCCTGGAAATGGAAGAGGTTGTTAATTAGCTTTCATTAAGAAAGGTGGCAGGGAAGGTGCAAACATGGGGAAGGGGCAGACACTGTCCCCAGGACCAGTAGCAGAACAAGCTCTGCCATATAAGGGGCTGTGGACAGGATGGGGCTGTCTCTCCCACCTGGACAGCTACTGGCAGCACCGGGATGGGCCTGGCACCTCTAACCCAGGAGGAGTTGTAGGTGCTCACCAGGACAAGTGTGTAAAATGAAAACAGCCTGGAATGACAAAGGTCACATTTGGTGACAGGAAGCACAAAGTCTGTGTCCAGGAAGAAAGGCAGCACCTGTAGAAATGGTCATAGACACTGACACCACTCCCCAAAATGTTAAAAGTGAAACAAAAAGATCTCACTGATCAGCAGTTGGAGTCCAACTACAATAAAAATAGCAAGAAAGTTTTCCTTTAACAATCTGAAACAAGACTAATTTAGCCTGGGGTAAAAGAGGACTAGGTTGGAGCAACTGACTCTCCCCACACCAAGAGGGAACACACAACCCTGTCCCTGCCCACCGAAGAATTCGGAAAGGGGTTGAATTTGTCACAGGAGAGGAAACAGCAGTACAGCACTGACAGTGCTGAGCTGAGGGGCTCTGCCAATTCCCAGCTCTCTGGGCTGCAAGGCAAGGCTGGGCCAACATCTGCCCACGCAAACATCGTGCCTGTGTGCTGGATGCCTGAGGGAAGTGCACCTGGGAACTACCTGGAGTTAGCTGGGAAAGCTTCCCACAGTTCCAGCCTGCATGGGATGGGTCTGACAGGTCCCACGCTCACCCTTGGCCTGGTGTGTACAGCACAGAATGGCTCTGTCAAACCCCCAGAGCTCTGTGCCTGCAGTTCACTCCCTCCCTCCCTGTGGCTGGGCTGGGCAGGCAGCACATGAGAGAGCACATCAGCTGTATGGTGAGGGGTGGACAGGACAGCTCATCCCACAGCACAGGGGAGCTCCTGTGCTTTCTGTGCAAGCTGAGGGCCCTTTCCCCTCATCCACAAGTGGCACCTTCAAAGAGGTACCTGTCCTGCTAAAATCCAGCGTGAGAGGATTCACTCTGCAGCTGCTGAGACAGACACAAAAGGGAACAAGCGCAGCCTCGTGACACGGGCCCTCAGCCGGCAGCAGCACAACAGACCTTCCTGATGAGTCAGGAACTTCTGAGCTCTCCTCTAGCAAGGGCTCCAGCAATGCAAGGCTGATGGCTCATCGGGCTCACCCCCAGGGCCACGGGAAACCTGGAGTGCACGGACACCAGTGGCCTGAGCCAGGAAAGGAACTATCACAGGGAAAAGGAGAATACAGCCCTGAACTTACAGGGAATAATGTCAGTACCTAAAACATTCCCTAGATGGTTTTTTTCCCTTTGCTCCACAGGAAGAGCCCAGGAACATGTTTCCTGGCTGCAGTCACAGAGCAGCCCACTCAGTTTGTCCCTAACACACAAGGCTCAGACACTGCTGCCAGTCCAGCAGCGCTCAGGAGCACTGGGATAGATCTGTGCTACTGGCCTGGGTCAGCACTCGCCAGCCCCTGCACCACCTGCCCAGCCACACCTGGGAACCAACACCTGGGAATGCCAGAGGATTCCAGGTTCCCATGCCTGGGAGGGAGGAACATGCCATCCCATTTCACTGCTCCCTTCATCTCTGAAGGAGCTGCTGGTTTGGGTCCTATGTGGTGACAGGAGGCACCAGGGGAGTGACAGCAGAGGGACAATAGAGGGAACTTCGGAGGGAACCACAGGGGGTCTACAGGCCTGGGGTAATGGGGGTGTGTCTGTAACCATTAACATCACCAGGGGAAAGTGCTGCTCATGACAGACAACACCAAAGACAGACAACATCAACCCAGAGTCCTGCCTGCCACCCGGCTGGGTGTCCGGCTGCTCTCTGCCCACACAGCGAGAGCAGCACGCCTTTAGCTCTATTTATTTGCAACCCAAACACGTTCCCTGCAGCTTGTAAGAAGTGCCTGTGAGTGTTTTGCTTCACTCCCATATCCTGCACATCAAATGAGCTCTGTGCTCCCACGCAGATCCCTGGCACCCTTGCAGGAGATGGAAGCTGCTACGGAGACGTCAACGCCCTGCTGCTGTGTCAGGAACAAGGGAGCCTCAGCCCAGCAGGCACAGCAGGGCCTGGGTGGGAGGAGGAACACAGCCCAGGCTCTTCTTCCCAGGGAAACCAGGGATCTCTTCTTGAAAAGGCAAAAATACTCCCCAGCAAAACTGGAGGGAAATGTGCCTCTTTTCACATGGAGGGTTTTATATGTGCTGTGATCTCTCCTTCTCTCCCCCACCCATGATACCTCCATTCAACCGCTGTCACTCCCAGCAGTCTTGTTCGGCTGTTGGAGCTTTGTCCCTTCCAGCTAAGAGGAGGGACACTCCTTTCCTTGGAAGGCTGTTTGCCTCAGACCTCTCTGCTCCCAGGAGGGGCATTTACACAGCAGTGTTCTCCCCTCCCTGACTCAGATTTGTTTGGAAGCTCAGCACCTCTGCTGCCATTAGATTTGGAGGCTGACTCATTTCCAGTGCGTTTCACCTAGAGACTTTCCACAAAGGAAACCAGCCTTGGAGGGGCAGGCTGCAGTCTGCTTCACATGGCTTTAAATACAACAGCCCAAGGAACAGGCTCCACTTCCTTCCCCTTCTGATGGTGTTGGAGAGATCTGAGACCTGACATCAGCAATGTCCCACTGCAGCCGCTCTTCAACCGCCGCCTGACAAAAGCTGGTTTTCTGTTTTCTTTTCCGCTGTGTGCAGCCCCAGGAGCAGCCTGGCAAACACCCTGTGCCCCAACATGGTGAATGCCCCGTGCCTCTGCCTACTGACTGCCCTGTGCCCCCTGCGGGCAGCCCCAGCCCCTCAGCCCAGGCAGGTGTCCCAAGGGTTTTGTCTATGGGGCAGGGTCAGACCCTCAAGGGCTGGAGGATCCCCCATCGTCCTCCCTGCAGCCTGCCACCGCCACAGCACTCACCCAGTTTGTCCAGCAGAATGAAAGCAGCTTTGGGAGCAGCACCCACTGGGCTCCCCTGGTGGCACTGGGAAGTGGAGCTGGCTGGGAGGTCAGCACCACACTGCCTCCTCCCCAGCACACGGCAGCACAGAGCAGGCCTGGAGCCATGGAAAACCTCCACATATTATCCACTGAACTGGGAATGTGAAACTCAACCCGTGACTGTTCAACTTCGTAAAATAGGCTATGGAAGAGCTGCCTGGAACTCTGCTCCTGAGGCTGCTTAAAAAACATCAGGCAGGCTAATTCATAGAGAGGGAGACTGTTCCAGTTACCAAAAATCAGCATCAAAAAAGTGGAGAACTCACCAATATTAATCTCATCATCTGTTAGTGTGTCACCAATGAAGTCGAACTGGAAGGATTGCAGGGTCTGGGAGAACTTCTGCACGGCCGAGGAATACCCTGGAAAAGGACAGAGCAATCAGCTTGGGTTTCTGCAGCAGTTCTACAGAGGGTGCAAGTCTCTGTAACCATAGTGAGGTGGTTAGGAAAACCCACAGGCATCAGGAATTTCAGCGCTGCAGCAAATGCTGCTGCATTGATAATCCTCAGAGACTGCAGACAGAGCACTGGGTTTGTGGGTTTTTTCTCTCTGAAAAAGCTTCTGCAGCATTAACGGATGCACTGCACAGTACAACAACTGTCCTGCCATGTACAGGAAGGGACACTGACACACTTCCCTGCAGGAAAACATGCAGGAGATACCCTGGGGCTCTGCATGCATCAGCACAGCTCCCTGGAGCACAGGGGCTGTCAAATAGCCTGGCCAGTGTTCACAGGAATTGTTTCATTATAAGGGAGAAAAATGTGTAGAGTCAGAAAATTAACATCAGAAAAAAGGCAGACCTCAAAATAACTTTCCATTCTGGAGGTCATGGATACAGACAGGCCCTGAGGGAGTAGGGACAGTGCCACAGGGAGCTTGGGGCTTGGCTGGGCTCACCCAGGCACCTGCTGCTCCTGCTGCTGAGGAACCGTCTGGGCTGGAAGCGAAGACACTGTGGCCTGGTGGTGGCTGTGGCTCAAATTATTTTTGGACCTTCCAGAGAAGTTTCTGGCCAAAAGAAAGATCCTTTGTGCCTTTGCATCCTGCACAGCTGCCTCAGAGCCCTGGGGCAGTGGCTCAGTTGTTGGACAGAGGAGCCCTGGGACGGGGCAGCAACACCGCAGCAGAGCCCAGCCCAGTCACCCACCCTGGGACAGCAGGGGCAGCACTGGTGACATTTCATCCCATCAACCATGTCTTCCTGCACAAAGCTACATGCTCCTCGGGGGATAAGTCCATCTCCAACAGCAAATTCCCGAGATACAACAGAAGGAGGCTGCACTTGCCCGACCTCAAGGAATAGCATATAAGCAACAGAACAGAACCAAAGGAATAATTTTATATTCTGATTTACATTGCTATTTTCCCTAATGTGGGACTTCAGCCATAGGCATAGCCCCAGGCTGGACTCCTTTGGGGGGGTGCACTGGAGACAGTACTTTTTGCAAGTGGTGAAGTTGTGGCAGCACAAACATTAATGTGCAACCAGCTCCCACCCCTGCTTTGCTGAATCAGCACAGCAATTGCTGTATAAAAAACTTTGGTGTACACAGCTGGGTTGTTTCTAATTTGAACATAGAACTTAGTATCACGGTGGCAAACTTGGGGGGTTCTGAAACACTGCTGTGAAGTGGAGAGAAAAACTGGACACTGCCAAAATGAATGTTGAGGTAAAGAATCAAGTGGCCCGCATGGGATCTCGGCAGGTCCCCAGACTGCTCTGTTCCCCTCTCCCCAGGTCAGGAGTGCCCAGGCCCCTTGGCCCTCCCCAGGGTCCCCAGACAGGAAGGGCAGGGGGACAGCCAGGTACCCAGCACGGGGAGGAGCACAGGCTCAGAGCACAGTCCTCACCTCCCCCTCCAAAGCCTCGTTCAGCAGCTCCCTCTGATGGGTCAAACCTTTGCTCCTGAATGAGCAGATTCAGGCCTGAATGTTGCTATTTAGCCCCAGCTGCCAGGGGCTGCAGCACGTAAATGGGTGAACTCTCACACAGAACGATGTCATTGAGTTGATGGAAAACCTCAGCAAATAATTCCCCTCAGTGCCCCAGCGCTCGCTCAGGCTGTGCCGGAGGCTCATTCAGCCGCTGCTCAGGGGGAGCTTTGTTCGTTCCCCTCAAACCCTGACGCTGCCACAGCCCCATCCAGCCCCTTCACTGCTGTTATTAGCGGGTGGCCTTCAATCCCTCCCTCCCAACCCCCCTCCTGGCCCAGCCTGGGTCCCTGAGCCCCCCAAAAGCAGTGTCACCCAAGGTGGCTCATTGCAGCACCCCTGGCCAGCATCCATCTGTTTGTCTGTCCGTCCGTCTGTCCTCTCCATGTCTGCTGGCCAGGGGAAGGTGACAAGGCACTGGGAGGCTCTGGCTTCATGTCCCCATGAGCCAGGAGCATGGCAGCACACGCAGGTCCCCCCATCGTGGGGACAGAGGGTCTCCACATGCCATGTTTCCATGTCAGTCCCTGGAGCAGAGAATGGCCTGGCAAGCTCCTGCCTTCTGGGTTTTACAGAAACAGGGGGAAAAGTCATGGTACAGAAGGGTTTGAAAAGCCAAACACAGCATATTTTAACCAGAAAAGAAGAAATAGTATAGCCAATTTAAGTTACCTTTTCCTTTCAAAATATGTCTGGCCTGAAAGTTTATTTGCCAAATGTCCAGCTGAAGGAAACCCAGGTTCACACAGTCACATCAGCTTAACGGTGAAAAACACAATGAATGCCCCATAGATAGTCCAGTGCTGTTTGGCTGCACCTGGGACAAGGAGTCTTTTCCATTTTGGGGAGCCATCTTTATCCTTACCCTCAGCAGTGAGGTGTAGGAAGCCCCCGGCTGTGAGCGGTGGCTGTGGCACCCCAGAGCTAATGACAGCGGAAGGCAGGTGGCTGCCAAGGACATCCCTGGGGTGGCACAGACTTTCCCTTAGGGAAACAACTATGGAAGATGAGAGAGGGCAAGGGAGAGGGAGAGGAGAGCTGGCATTGCACGTGCCTGAGGAACTCGGATGGAAACCAGACTCCTCCAGACCAAGGCAAATCGGCTCCCACACGTAGGGAGCCTTTGCTGAGCACTGCCTCCTGACAGAGCCCGTGTGCTCACACACTGACAGCACCATGTGCTGCCACGGTGCCACCACAGCTTTGGGGTGTGCCCTGGGACACCAACAGGGCTTGCTGACAGCTGCCCTACCTTTCACTGCCTGCTGGCACCAGCCACCACAGAACAGAGGATGCTCCTGCCTGGGTGGGCCCCTGCAGGGCCTGGCACAGGGACAGTACTGGGGCCTGAGGCAGAGCACTGGGTGGCACATCACACCTTCCCTTGGTGACACCTGAACAGTGGCATGGTGACACCAGGGATGGGGCAGGGCAGGGGGGCCATGCAGAAAGGGATGAGCCATGGCCAAAGGAAGGAGGTTTGACCACAGGAAGGGGCCAGCAGACTTGCTGTGCGGATAACTGGGGCTCCATCCTATGCTGGGAGAAGTAAGTCCATATTCTCCCTCATTTTAACAGGCACTCGGAAATGTTTTCCCTCCCGATATGCTTGGCTGCCAAACGCACCCACTCTGCACCCACAAAGGCAGGAGGGAGAGGGGTTGGAGGGCCTGTCCTGCTCCCCCAGCACCAGGACCCGAGGTTGAAGAAATAATGCCATGCTCCAAGCTGGAATATCCCTGCGAGCAGCTCGCCAAGGCTCAGCACCACCAACAGCCCCACCGACCCTTCCTGCTCGTGGTGCAGCTCAGCCCGTCTCCATGGAAACACACCAAAATGGATTCAATCAGGAGTCCTAAAGGACTCCTCCTTCCAGCCTCAGAATGTCATGCCAACTCTTACCATTTGTGGTCACAATAATTTACTCTTCTAGTAAAAAATGAAGTTCTATCCCTGCACAGAGTCGCACAGCTGGGCTGTGGGGCAGGAGAGGGGAGCACCAGCACCAGTGCCAGCCTCAGAAGCCACATGGAGAACTTGGGGCTGTATTTATGTGTAAACACACCTCCAGAGCCAACAGCTCCGAAAGGATGTGCCCCACACACAGCCTGCTCAGCAAGGACCTAGCAGGATCCTCACTTCAACCTTTCACAGCAACCACAGGTAACCGAAAACCACAAATGAAAAAGTGCTGCTACCGCTGCAAAAGCCACAGGCTCTGACAAAGCAGAAACACAAACAGAGCCCCAGATCAGGCTGTGCTGCTGCTTTTCCCCCCAGTGCTTAGAATTTAAACCAGAAGGAAACCACCACCACAAGACAGAGCTGTGGGGGACACAGCCCCGCACTCCCCCTCACACTCCCAGGGTGAGCAGACGTGGCTGGAAAATGAGGCAGGAGGTGCCATGCCAGGGTCTGTGATGCTTGAGGTGTCACAGGTGCACGTCCTTAATTAGCTTAGCTAATTGCAACCCAGAGGTCACAATCTGTGTGACTGCAATGGTCCTCTGTTCCCAAGAGAGGAAACCATGCCCCTGAGCACACAGAAATAGAAGTGGCAGTGACAATCCAGTGGTGACAGCTACAGGGACCAGCAGGATCCTGCACCACAGGAGGAATGTGCTTGGGCTGCCTCACTTAACACCAGAGGCCAGGCTGCCAGCAACCTCACCCTCCTTATCCACACCCAAATAGTCCCTGCTTATACGACAGTGCTTGGCTGTGCAGCAGCTGGTACAGCCAGCACCACCTCTGCTTCTTCCTAGGACACAGCCAGCTGGGAATTGCTGCTCCTCCACAAGGTCAGGGGCTGAGCAGACAGTGGGTTCAGCAGCCCTTTGGCTAATCTTCATCACACGCTGCTCCCTGGGTATCACACTGCAAATTAAGGAGGAAAAACGAAAATAAAAGGAGCCTCCACACACCTCAGCACCATCACAATCGCTGGCCAGCAACAGTCCCAGAGCAAAGGCATTCCTGAACCTAACCTGATCCAACTGACGGTGTGAACAGTTGAGCAGCAACAGGGCTGCAGCTTCCCCTGTTCCGCGGAAGGGATGGGATGTCCCAGTCCACATCAGAAAGTGGGAGGTGACTTTTAACTGGTCTCCCAGCTTGGGGAAGAGTAGCCAGCAGAGACTTCCATGGGGGAACAAGCCATTCCTGAGCTTCTGCATCCATCTGACCCACAGACAGCAGCGCCAGGTGCCCTTCATGGAGCAACTCAGCCACAACTTCAGCAATCCACGAGGAGTGCCATAAGGAATCAAGAAGGAAAATCCAAACCAGGTTTGAGCCATGCCAGTGCAAATAATCAGAGCAAATGTAAGCAGGAGCTCCATCTTTGCGTTTTGCTTTCTTCTTCTCTAGCTTGAAAACAGAACTGTTTAACCCAGCCACACGCCTTCAAACAAGCAAACAAAAG